ATTTCAGTCGAGAAAAATGCCAACTTTGTGTTGACAAACTTGTTGCGATGCTAATTTTATTAGACATATTTAAGAAAATCATAAATTAAAATTCGAATGACTTGGATGACGACATGAAAGAGAAAAGTTAGGGATTTATATATATATATATATATATATATATATATATATATAATATAAATTAACTTATTTAAAATATGGTTTCTTCGCTACACATTAATAACCGTGTTTCAAAGACCGACGCTAAAAACTTCAAATTTAATTATATAATTAAATTAAAAGCATTAGTTCTGTTTCATCTTCAAGCTAATTTTGGAATAACTTATTTTTAAATTTACTGAGTTTTAAACGCACATATAAATTCATAATTTCCTGTTTCCAAGGTTACAGAGAAATCCATTCATTTAGACAGGGGCGGTAGCGTGTTCATTTTTATTAACTATTGTTGTATCAGTTGTCAGGGGTGTATTTTGCAACGAATTCTGGCATCCGTTAAACGCATGTCGTCTGGGATTTTTTTTATTAGCGACAAAAAGTTTTTCGGCATTTTTTTCGTACTTGTATACTTAAAGATTCTTTCTAAAAGGTGTGTTTGGGTTAGAATGCTTTATATTTAACTACAATTTTAATGTATTTTTACTCTTAATTAATAATAGACTATATTTCTTTTTAAATCAAGTAAATGTAGTAGAATTACTTAAATTATTTAAAATTATTTTTCATATCCAATATAAGTATGTATATTACCAGCTCCTATTTTTTTAATATTATGTAAGGAAAATTTTTAACAATGACTGCAAAGAATAGGTATTTCGTTTCTTTGATTTAGTAAATTTTTATTTTTTATAAACTTAATAATATATAGTTTTGATTTGATTATAGTGCAGAACCAACCACACTTTTTGAAGAGCCAAATGCAGAAACCTGTTGCACTACAAGGTCCCCAAACGACCCTCCTCAAGTTTTGAATTCAGAATTGTCCTTCTCCTAGCCATCCAAGGCTATAGAACCCAGTGTGTCCCGCTATTTACCCATAGCTGGAAGGAGAAGAAGAGGATTTTTCCATGTAAGTGAATGTAAGTGATTCGACTGGAATTCGAACTCGGCTCTCCGATTTCTCAATCCGAGCTGCTATCCACTACCCCACTACTCATAATACATAATTAGGATATATAATGGATGAGCAGAAGTAACGAAATATTTGTCTAGACATATTTATTGTAAGAAGCAATACAAATTAACGCGGTACATTTCGAAACTAAAACTAAAACAGAAAAATTGAAGTTTGAATTTAACTTCTATCGAAATTATTCATTCGCAAATTTCCGCCGACCAATCAGAGCACGACATACACCATTACGAGGTTAGTCTGAAAAGTTCATAGGCTGACTAAGAAGGGGTGATACTGAAGCTGTGAAATCTTTCATGCATTAATTTCAAATCTTCTTATTAATAACTGCATACTTTCCACGTAAACTGACATCTGACTTTTCAAGGAAAACCTCAAAAGTAACTTATAGCGATAGCGACTCCCCCCTCTTATAGCGACTCCCCATCTTATAGAGACACCCCCCTGAAAATGACCAAAATTTGGCATCATGTTGCTATCCAGTACCCACAAAAAAGTGTTTAGTCCCCAAGAACATTCATGCTGACATGGTTAGTATCTTAGGGGATGACGCTCCAGCTTTATGCAAAAGTGGGCAGCTAAATTTAGAAGAGGAAAGGCGAATCTTGCACATAACCCAAACTATGGGCGTCCTGTAACTTCCACCATCGAGGAAAACATTGATCGTATTAACCACATGGTGAGGGATGACAAGCGATTGTCTATAAATCAAATAGCCGATACTATTAGCATATTCCGTGAGAGAGTTGAGAAAATCCCCCACAATGAACTTGGCACGACGAAGCTTTCTGCTTGGTGATTGCCACGACTTTTGACACCTGATCAAAAGCGAATCAGGCTGATGACATCACAGGAAAATCTGATATTGTCTGAGACAAATCCAACTGGTTTCGTTTAACGTTTCCTGACCCAAGTTGAATGCTGGGTCCATGATTTAGAGTCAGAGACAATCTATACAATGGAAACATCACTTGCTCCAGAGAAGGCCAAGGTCGTTTCATCTGAAAGGAAGGCGGTGGCCTCAATTTGGTGGGAGGGGTACAAATAGCATTGGGTTTATTGACTATCTTTAAAAGGGTCACACCATCAATGGTAAAGTACTTGACCACTTTGCTGAAGCAGTTACGAAAGGCTATCAAGACCGAACGCCCAGGAAAACTAACGAAAAGGGTTTTGTTTGATCAGGACAATGCTCCAGCAAAACAAGACCTTGGTTTCAATAGCTGTTGTGCGCGACTGTGGCTTTGAGCTAGTTAATCATCCTCCTTATTCTCTTGATTTGGCTCCATCTGACTATCATCTGTTCCTCAATTTGGAAAAAAAAACACTTCTCTGGGAACCAGTACCGCAGTACTGGTTCCCAGAGATGAAAGCTTCTTCACATATGAGATCCATTCACTACAACACCAATGTAAAAGTGTGTTAACCCCAATGGGGGTTATGTTGAAAAATAAACCTCCTTTGATCATATTCTATGAGTATATCTTGGTGAGCCTATGAACTTTTCGGCCGACCAAATGAATACCGTGTACATTAACTCGTCATTGAAGATTTGAGTAGCAAAGACAAAAGAACTCGCTGAAGAGTTTTGTTAATTGACCATCGTAATCATGGAGTGGTATATCGAAAACACTCCAAGATCCAGGTTGCCATCACTAAGATTAGATTTGAAAATTGAAGGAACATAACCTGAACATCAGCCCCCAAAATTACTCCCTCTTAATAGTAAATGAACGAGAGTCTAGAACCATTTCTCGAAAAGTAACGCAGAAGCCATTCACAGCGTGAGGAAATTTTCAGGAGAAATTTCAGGCAGTTGTCGCAGAAGTAAGCAAGGATATAATTAGTCCATCGGGTAAGATTGCATTCTTTGCCTTCAAGACAGCTTCTTCTGGTGGAACCCAAACCCAGGATCATCTACATTTTGCCTGCCATTATCTCTAGAAGCCTGATTTGTTCTCGAACAATATATTATAGTCTGACGAAGCTAAAATCTAACACCTTGGCAGAATATTAGATAGCGTTATGTATTCTGAAATACTGGAGAACAATGCTTACATATGTGAAATTTCTCAAACTCTGAAAAGGTTGGATTTTTCCGCAGCATATCGATTTCATGCGTTCTTGAAGTGAAAAAAGGAAATGGTTCCGGCCGAAGGAAATAAGGATTTTAGGGTAGTCTAATAAGTCACCAAATGTAAACCCTAAAAAGAAACGTGTGGAAGAAGCTTAAACTTTGTTTTCCTCAAAGGATTTCCCAAAACTTATCTTAAGGTGATTTATCAACATGAGTGTCATAGAATTGGTACTAATTTCCTACAAGTATCTTACCTCATATTCCAAACGTCTGACAACCGTTATAATAGACACACCATTAAATATTAGACAATCTTTAACTTACACCCTTGGCTCCCTGGGCAATTTTTTATTTACAATATTTTAAAAATATCTGCAGCATGTACAATGAGATATATATTATTTACATTTGATAAAGATTTATTATTTAACATTTTAAATAAGAAATAAAGTTGAAAATCAAACATTTTATTCAAAAATTATAAACAAACTTATCAAAATATTTAAGAGAAAGAGATGCCCGTAACCTCTTTTAGTGAATTTATGTGGCGAGAGCAAATAAAAAAAATGTTAGACAACTGATTTTTTTTGATTTTTTTTTTTCAAATTTTATAATTACGGTTACTGGTTATGTGTTAAATTTTTCTTTTACCTAGAAATTTTTATAAATTTATGAATAAAAAAATCTATTTCATTTTATTTGGTTCACATATTTTGTTATAATCTTGAAAATGTAAAATTATTCTTATAAATAAGCAATCTAATAAATAACATCTTTATTATCATTTCTCAAAAATAAAGAAAATCTATAAATCAACAATGTTTGGGTTTTATTAAAGTTCTAATGATCGCTTTTAAAAGCAATAAACATTGGCGAAGGAATCAAGAGGGTATTTTTTAAAATCATTTCATCCCAAGCAAAGCAATAAAGCCACTAACACTCATGGGGGTTAATGAGTGTTTGAGACTATGAGAGAAAAATAATATTAAGAAGAAAGAATATTAAAAGAATAGGAATTAAGAAGATAGAAGATAACGATTAACATTGCATTTAAATTTTTGAAGATCCAAGTTGACTGGAAAGTAAGAAGCTGGAAGAGAGTTCCACAAACGAGTTCTCAGGAAGAAAAAAATATCCGCATAGAACTTACGTATATAGTATTAGCGGTGTTAAGGGAATAACCGTCCCTTTAATACCGCGTTTTTTTGTGTTGTTTTGTTTTTTTGCCAATGCAATATAGTGAATGCTGTTTATTGATATGCTTACATATTTTACAGTCGCTTGAAATCTGTATATTAGACCATAAATGGAATATACTGTTGTCATATGACAAGAGCTATTCGAATTTCCAACATCAAAAGAATTCAATGAGTATGCGAGATACTAACAGGAATTTTGATTAAATGGAAATATCAGATTTTACTTATACGTGAATGTAGTAAAGTTTTGAAAGTAGAAGGATTATGTTGCGCCAATCTACCGTCCCTCAAAAGCAAATAATGCCTTTGAAGATGATTGTCTAATGATGTTGACGACGCGAGATAATTGGAACGTTATTGTGAAAGACGAGCAGTGGTGGGGATGAAATGTTTATCATGGGACCCAAGTTAAATGGCTGGGTGGAGACCCAAAAAGTTCGGCCACCCACGTTGAGTGACTTGAGAAGAGAGAAAGGACATGTATTTAATTCTATTTTTTGGGTGTGTGGTGGGGGGGAGTGCTTGCGTCTGTGTATTCGGTTCGCTGTCTTCCGTTTTCCCCAATGCACCAATGGATTTTGTTCTTGTGACTTCT